GTAGACACAGTCGGGACAGACCAGCAGATAAGAGTTCATCCAAGAAAGTGTTCTATTTATTGTTTTATACTACATTGGTATTGCTTCAATTTTTACTGATAGTCTGAATCCACACTCCAGATCATTTCCTACAAGCCTATTATATTATTTGCAGAGTTTTCACTGTTTTCCTCTTAGTTTCATCATCACCTCCCAGGCTAAGCACATTGGGCTATAAACCTACTTTTCCTTTGATGAACTAAAATTAAAAACATAGTTTCTGCTTTTATCTCTTACTTTGCTGTTTCAAATCCCGTACTGTCAATATTTTCCTTCCTTGAAACTCTTACATTGCTGTTTACTATTTGCTTTCTCTTATTTGCTACTTTAAATTCTGTACTGTATAGAGATTTTCCCCTCTCTTCCTTGAAACTGCTTTCACTTTCAATCTCTTTACACAGTAAAGTATTTTCTTGGCCCATGGGCTCCCTGTGACAGCCGGCTGAGTCACTTGGGAAGGCATTTTACCTTTCATCTCAGGCTATAGCCTCTTTCACTACTGTTTGCATAGCTTTCACTGATTGCTTTTTTTTTGTTATACTCCACAACGGAGTTTCTCCTCCTACTTGTTCTATGTCATTCTGTTCCCTCCTGTCAATAAAGCAATATGTTCTAGGCCAGTATTTTCCAAACTTGACAACTTTAAGATGTGTGAACTTCAACTCCCAGAATTCATGCTATATCATGCTGAAACCAGCAGGCTGGCTGGGGACTTCTGAGAGTTGAAATCCACACACCTTAAAAGTTGAGAAACAATGACTTATAGTATTCTCAGTTACTTCCAGTTGTTCCTCTTTTTTTCAGATACCATTTCCGTTCTCCACTCTACTCAAACCATTCTTAATGCTCTTCACTACTCCAGACTTAACAAGCTGATCAGTACTCACTGCAGCTGACCAATAGGAGAGGGCAAAGGGAAAAAAATCCACACATCTTAAAGTTACCAAGTTTGAAAAACATGATGCTAAGGCTAGGCTAATATAGGCTTCCAGTGTACTTCATCCCTATAAAGCAGTATATGTTTAAGTGCTATTGCTATTAACCACTCCATCACGCGGTCATCACAGTTGCAGTGAATCAATCAATAAATCTTCCATCCAACTAGCCACTGTTTCCATTATCAGCACCTGACAGAGAACTTACAGGGTTAGACTTTCTTTCTTCTAGAAACTAATGTATCTATTCTTTGAGAAACTTGGTTTCTCCAGATCAAAGAAAGGAATTTCTAATATATTAGTTGTTTTTCTTTACACATATTTATGAAGGAACACTTCACATTTTCCAAACTCTTCTAAGAAAGCTTCCTTTTACATTTACCTACTTAGTTTTCCTTTCACTACCAATCCTAAAGACATCTATTAAGGATTTTTTTTTAAATGCCTTCAAATCCATTCTTTTAATTCTGTCTGGACTAGTCCATGCGGTTGTTGTTTTTTTAAACAAGAAGTTGTTTACCATTGTCTTCTTCCCAGGACTGACAGGCTTGATTGGCCAAAGATTAAGGTTTCAAGCCTAAGGTAGAACTCCAAACTCACTTAATTTCTATCCTGGTGCCTTAATCACTCCACAAAACCAGCTTTTGTATTAAAAATTATGCACCATTAATTCTAAATTATAGAATGGCAATCTCAGAGATCTTATTACATTTTCCTTATTAGCTAAAATTAAAACACAACTTCAAAGGTATTCTATTTGGGCAAGAGTCACCTCTTCCCAGAAATTCAATGCACATCTTTCATGTTATATAATCTTGGATATTTCAATGTCATATAAAGACTGAAGATCAATTAATGTTCTCATACATATTGCATCATTTAGTTTTTAAATTAAATAATTTTAATTTATATAATTTAATGCCCTCTAAATGTTTTAACTGTAATTCCCATATTTTCCAGACACAAACATAGTCTGCCTAGGTTGACAAACATTGGGCTAACTTTAAGACATGTGGCTGGCTAGGAAATTCTGGGACGTTTTAAGTTCACACAACTAAAGTCATTAAGGTTGAGAAACACTGGTCTAACCTCCTTGGAAAACCTATTTTGGGAAAGATTCACTTAGAAGCAATCCTATTTAATTAGTATACTCCTTGGAGGGAAAAATCAGCCCTTTAGATGCTTTTTGAAGCACAAGTCTAAACAACACCAACAACAACCACACCCGTTGCCTCATATACTGTGTTTCTCCAACAATACAGCCTCCCCCAATAGAAAATCCCAGCATGTTTTATAGGCATAAAATCAAATTAAGCCCCTCCCCCAAATTAAGGCCTATATTAAACATGCAAAATGGGGGGGAATGGCAGGGGGGGCTTGCTGTTAGGAAGTACTTTTGTTGCATACCCGGATATGGTGCTGCCTGCGTTGACTTTGCCGTTGGTGGCGCACTTCGTATCGGGAGACCTTTTGCCACCGTTGCTTTCCCTTCTCCCCATGCTGCCGGTGTTTGGCGCAGCCACGTGCAGCCAGCCAGGGCACCTCCCTGCAACCAGAGCCCAGTGGAGACACTCGGCTTCAGGCGCTCCTGTCGCCACCTTCCCTTCGCCTTCGAAGGGAAAGCCAATTCTTTTACAAACGAAGCCCTACTACCAGTACGACAAAGCCTCCCCTGCCTGAGAGGGCAGCCCAACCCCACGTGGAGAGGCGAATCTGCTGGGGCCGCAGCGCAGGATCGGCCCACCCCGGGAGAAGCGCCCAGCCACCATCCCTGCTTGGCGCCGGGCAGAGTGTGAAGAGCTTTGCGTGGGGTGCCCAGTGCAGCTGACAGTAGGGCTTTTCCAAGGCAGCAAGCGCCTCCCCGTCGGGCCCTTCACTCATCCTATCAGGGTCGCACCAGAGCCGTGAGGGCTGGGCAGAGCCAGGAAAGTGAGCCGCGGGTGCGCACCCACCTGCCAAGCAAAAGAGCTGAACCCGAAGGGGCCAGCGGGAAAGGCTGCCCGAGGCAGTGATAGAGCCCATCTGTCTGTGGACAGGGAGGTGAGGCGACGGCAGTGCTGCTTCCCTGGCCGGCAGGTCCGGTGGAGAGAGCCCGAAGCTGACCGTCCTCTCCACCCCTCGCCCAGCCCGTCTCCATCCCCACACATCTCCAAATGTGCCAGCAGCTCCAAACACTGCAGTGGCATGGGCATCGGACAGAGGCGCTCACTCGACGGGGCTCAGCTTGGAGGAGGACATGGCACAGGCCGTTGCCTTGCCTCCCTGTCCATGGATGGGTGGGTGCTATCACTGCCTCGGGCGGCTTCTCCCAGTGGCCTCTTTGGGTTCAGGCTGGAGGGACTTGGGAAGGAAGCCAAGCTCAGGTCAGCCCGGCTCTTTTGCTTGGCAGGCGGGCGCGCACCCGCAGCTCGCTTTTCCGGCTCTGCCCAGCCCGCACAGCTCTGGCATGGCCCTGGCAGGATGAGCGGAGGGCCCAGTGGGGAGGCACTCACTGCCTTGGCCAGAGCTCCACTGCCGGGCAGGAGGGCCCGCCTGTCAGCTGTGCTGGGTGCCCCAGGCAAAGCTCTTCACGCTCTGCCCAGTGTCAGGCAGGGATGGCGGCTGAGCACTTCTCCCGAAGTGGGCCGATCCTGCGCTGCGGCCCCAGGAGATTTGCCTCCCCACGTGGGGTTGGGCTGCCCTCTCGGGCAGGAGAGGCTTTGTTGTACTGGTAGCAGGGTGTCTTTTTTAAAAGAATTAGCTTTGCCTTCGAAGGTGAAGGGAAGGCAGCGACAGGAGTGCCTGAAGTGCCCCACCAATGCTGAGGTCAACATCCAAGTCATCGCCGCCCGCCCGCTTGAGGATGCAAGGGGGGGGATTAAGTCACCCCCGAAAAGACGACCTAGCCATTTTTTTCAGGGGTCAAAAAAAATAAGACCCAGCCTTATTTTGTGAGAAACACAGTACTCCCAGCTGACAGAGCTATAAGACCTAAGGGGGATATAAAAAAAAAACAAGAAAAATGAAAATTGCTTCCAGGCCCTTTTCTGCTTCTTCAGATTAAAATCCCGTTCCATTCCCATTTTCCTGAAGGAACCCCCATTATATAGCTTATTTGCGGTTATTTTCTAAGTTGGCATTCACCGCCTCCTTAAAAAGTTTCCAACCCAATTCAACAGTCAAGAACCACTACTCCCTTTTTTCAGATGGATTTAATGTATAGGTAGTTCTCGACTTACAACAGTTCACTTGGTGACCACTCAGTTACACCACCACTGAAAAAAGTGACTTATGACTGTCATAGCATTTCCATGATCATGTGGTCAAAATTTGGATGCTTATCAACAGGTTCATATTTATGAGGGTTGCAGTGCCCCAGGGTCATGTGGTCATCTTTTGTGAACTTGTGACAAGCAAAATTAATTGGGAAGCCAGATTCACTTAACAACCATATGACTCACTTAACTGCAGCAATTGGCAGTTGAGTGAAAGAGCCTTGATGGTGTTGCAGTGGTTAGAATGTAGTACTTGCAGATTATTTCTGCTGACTGCCAGCTGCCAGCAGTTCAATTCCCACGGGCTCAAGGTTGACTCAGCCTTCCATCCTTCTGAGGTGGGTAAAATGAGGACCCAAATTGTTGGGGGCAAGAGGCTGACTGTGTAAACTGCTTAGAGAGGGCTGTAAAGCACACTATAAATCGGTATATAAGTCTAAGTGTGATTGCTATTCACTTAACTGTGGCAAGAAAGGTCATAAAATGGGGCAAAACTCACTAATAAATGTCCGGCTTAGCAACACACACGTTGGGCTCAATTGTGGTCGTAAGCCGAGGACTACCTGTATTTAAGGTTTCCTTTAAAAAAAAAAAAAGATAAAAGATTTCAATCGGGAAACTTGGTTCCCTTTCACCCGACCCGCCTTTCTTCGCCTCGGCCCAGCTGCAGCTCGAACGCAAAGGGTGTGGCGCAGCGAGACATTAATAGACGCGCGTAGCCCAAGAGAAACTCCGCTGCTCCGGGCGTAAAAGGGCCGGTTGTGCGTCTTCCTGCTGAAGCGGGCGGGGCCGCGGGACAACAAGCGGGGTACGGTTTCTCAGCTTCTTCTCCAGGCCTCGTCGAAGACCCGTTTTTGTTTTCCCCTTCTGAATCCCCCCCCCCCAAAAAAAACCATGAGCGGCTCTAGCCCAGACAAAGGGGAACCCCAGAAGAGCGAGGGGGAGACCAAAACGGAACTGCCCCAGGATGAAGCCGACGGAGCCGAGATGGACTGGGAGGCGGCGAGGATTGCCTACGAGAGTCTCACCAGCACCAAGAGACCTCGGCCCGTGAGTATTGTGAAGAGGGGGGTGGGCGTTTCCGTCGAGAAGGGTCGCTGAGGGCTGAATGCCGAGCCCCAAGCGCGGGAAGGGGGGCGGCTTCGGTGACCCTCTTGCCTCAAGAGGGGCAGGGACCGTGCTGGGTTTTCCATCTTCTTTTTCCCTTCTACGCTGTTAAAATGCTTCCGCCGCGTGCGCTTTGCTCTCCCCGCCACTCCTACTCCTGGTTTCTATGGAGCTCCCTCTCTCGCGTGTATTATTCCCCCCCACCCTTTGTTTTCTCTCTCTCTCTCTCTCTCTCGTCCAGACGCTCCCTCCTCCCTTGTTGACTGCTCCCAAGACTTCCCCGTCTTCGTCTTGGTTTGGAGTCCAGCCGTTTTGTTTTTTTCCCTTTCTCCTTCAGCCCAAGCCTCAAAATGCCATCACCATTGCAGTGTCTTCCCGAGCTCTCTTCGATATGGTGGAGGAAAGGAAAATTTATGAAGAGCAAGGTCTGGAAAAGTACGTGGAATACCAACAGGCCAACGAGAACGTCACTCTGAAACCTGGCCCTGCTTTTGCCTTTGTCAAGGTAAACTCCTTTCAGTTCCCTGGAGATCTTTTTCTTTTATTTTTTATTCCTCTTTACTTTCCTCCCTGCCTTTATTTACCTCTTCTGATCCATCTTTCTTTCTCCTGAGCGCATGGCAAATAATATGACTGCATTTCATAATTCTGCCATCTGACAGACACCCTTGGGTATGTCTCCCCAATATTCGTTAATGGGTAGGGAATTTCCTGGTCAAAGATATTATAATGTTGAAATCTTATTAAATAAAAAGATGCAGTGAGTATGTATAGAATGGAATAACAGAGTTGGAAGGGACCAACTCTGTCTTCTAGCCCAACCCCCTGCTTAAGCAGGAAACCCTACACTATTTCAGACAAATGGTTGTCCAATCTCTTCTTAAAAACTCCCAGTGTTGGAGCATTTGCAATTTCTGGAGGCAAATTGTTGCTCTGGTTAATTGTTCTGTCAGGGAATTTCTCCTTAGTTCTAGGTTGCTTCTCTCCTTCATTAGTTTCCATCCATTGTTTCTTGGTGCTTTGGAGAATAGCTTGACTCCCTCTTCTTTGTGGCAGCCCCTGAGATATTGGAACACTGCTATCCAAAAATATATGCTATTTTATTCATTGTGTACTTTATTCATCACTGTGATGGCTCTGAGATACTAGAACACTGCTGTCATATCACCCCTAGTCCTTCTTTTCATTAAACTTGACATACTCAATTCCAGCAACCATTCTTTATATATTATAGATTTTCTAATGACCAGGTTCATTCTTCTAAGAGACTTTGAAATAAAAACCCAGAGAAGTTTTTTCATGATGTATGTTTACACTAATGGACATTTCCTATTTATCTTTCCTAATTTCAACAGTTTTTTTCAGCTTGCAGAACTTGGCCACCGGAGCTATAAATGGGATGAGTAGTTGCACATAATTTCTCCTTTACACCTCCTTCTGTTTTCTGTTAAAAGGAACAAAGTCAAACCTAATAACATTAAATTATCTGTACTAAATCAATATACATTTGAAATGCATGGATTTCTATCTTAGAAAGAAGTTAGAGATTGTTGCAGCCATCAAATCTCATTGATTTCAACAGAATCTGAAACTTTTTTAGACTGCAGCTTTTGTGCCACAATGTCTGTGTGGCAGCACTTGAACTTGGGTAAAAAGACCATCTGAGTTGGCAAAGGTATTTGTTAGAAATTTGTCAGTTCCTATAATTTAAAAAGATTTCAATGCTTAATTTTGTAATAGTGTTCTCTACATTCCATCAAAAGAGGCTGCTTGTGAAGCAGTTTTTTTTAAAAAATTTGGAGTTGCTATTATTTCTATAGACCTTCCTTCCTCCTTTATGATCTGCTAGAAACTGTTGTGTAAAAGCATGGGGTGAGTTGCACCACTGTCCCCTCTCCTCCTTCGTTATAGAGATAGTTAGCTTCCCATTGATGACCAGAAGAGACAATTCCTACTGCCACGTCCTTTTCTTTCCAACTTCTCACCTCTTCATTATCAATATTTCCTTTTCCATCCATTTCTCAGTATGTACCCTTATTTGAGCCACTGCATCACTTTCACCCTTCTGCCACAGCTCTCTTATTTAGGAGCATTAAAAATTGCTTTAAACTTTAAACTGGGATAGTATTCCATTTAACCTAGTATATCTACATTGACTGACGTGGCTGAAAATACTCAGCTGTGGACTCATTTACTCATTTACCATGCAAATTATATACTGTTCCACTAAGCCTTTTCCTGGCGATTTCATCCAACTGGAACCTAGTTAATTCATAGCTCTATCTTAAACTTCCCTTCTTTTCATCAAGGGGATTATACTATTAATTTGGGGGGGGGGGAGCAGAAAATAAATGATGACAAGCTGAGAAATTGTGCTGAAGCAGATCAGGAAGTTTCATGTTCAGCCTCCTATTTCACCAGGTGAGGCTGAGAAAGACTGTAGACTGAAAAGCTGATGAATCACTTTCAGTCTGTGCATGCAAGGCAGAGTTATCAAGGGAAACCTCAAGTAACTTATTGCCTAAGGCAAAGGGCAACATTATGTCCTCCACCCATTCCAGGTGCTGAAGTTCATATTAGTAATTGAGTCTTCAATAATGCAAATTCTTCTACATGCTTGGAGAACAAGGGAGCCTAAGGGACACTGGATGGGTCATCTATTTCCAACCCTGGTTGTTGCCTGCCTGGCCTGTATATTAAGCTACTGCTGCTTGGGCACCAACTTCCCTTTGTTTAGAGAAGCCATTCCTATTTATGTTCCTTAGCATCTTAGTTACTGTAGTTGTTAAAGGAAGACAATTGGGTTTGATGCATCTCCAGCAAGCCCTAACAGATCCTGGAGAGGTCAAGAAGTGAAGCAGGTTGGACTGGTAAGTGCATTCTTCTTCTAGGCATATCCCACCCAGGCCTCTTGATGAAATAATTGAGCAAATATATTTGTTTATCCACTTGATTCTCATAGGCAGTGGAACATGTAAATACACGACTTCGTGAACTCTATCCTGACGATGAAGAGCTGTTTGATATCGTGCTCATGACTAATAACCATGCCCAAGTGGGAGTGAGACTTATCAACAGCATTAACCACTACGGTGAGTCTGAAGTCTGGTTGCCTGTGCATTAGGCTAGGCTACTGTTGACATCTTTCATCCTTCTGTATCCTATAGAATTCTAAGACTAAAACAAAGTGCACTTGATTTGTTGCTATTTCTTTTGTGTGAAAAAAAGAACTCTGAGATAATGATTTGATGGCACTACATAGAGTTGAATGTAATATAGGACAGTCCCAAAGGTGCTTTTTTCAAGAGGCAACTGGACTTTCTGGTTTTTCTTTGAAGATTTTTCGCTTCTCATTCAAGAAGCTTCTTCAGCCTCTTGAAAAAAAGCATTTTTGGGACAACCATGACTTGGATGGCTGAGAATCTCCATAGACAAATGTAGAACATCATTAAATACATCATTGTATTGCACTTCCTGTTGGCCAAAGAGTTTCATCAAGTTTAGGTAGCATGTCAAAGGTCCATACCTCAAAGTAAGGAGAGATGGGGCTTTTGAGACCATCTTATCTTTTAGGCCAGGGGTACCCAACCTCTGGCCTGCAGCCTATTGGGAACCAGGCCATGCAAGCGACAGGCAAGCACTTGACAGCTTCATTTGCATATGCATGGGATATAGATTGCCCATGTGAAACCATCCTACCCACCGATCGATCGTGGAGCTAGAAATGTGACGGACACCTCTGTTGTAGGCCACCTGCTTTGCCTTTCGAAGCCCAAAATGCCAAAATGGAGCTCAGACATCTGACCCTAATTACTCTGAGCCATAAAACATCTGTTGGCCAGCTATATGTGGCCTATTGCTATTCTTAAAAGCGGAGCTATACAACTGCATCAAGACACTGGTTGCAGTTCAGTCTTCTGCCTAGAAATGTATTGTTCCACGTTTAGGAAGTTCATGACTCTTTATTTTATTTTTTTACCACCTCGGGATTATACTGCTAGGTAATTATATTAGGAAAATATCAGTCTGGAGGAAAGTAGTTTTTCTCTAGAAATGTTGAGTAGAATCCTGACAGATTTTTTTCCAACCTAGCTGAAAATGCATTCTTCAACAAGACATATGTGGTTCTTTTCAGCTGATTCATTTTAGCATTGTGTAGCTAGAAAGATTTCAGATATATTGCACATAAATATAATGTCAAGTTATCAAAATTTAAAGTAGATTCAAATTTTTTAACTGGTACACAACTATGAACTATTGCATAAATAACAGCAACAAGTAAGAATTTTTCTGCATAAGTTGGGACTGAGAATTTTTCTTAATATCTAGGTCTTCTAATTGAACGGTTCTGTATGACTGGAGGCAAGAGTCCCATTGGGTACTTGAAAGGATACCTTACCAATCTCTATCTTTCTGCTGATTCTGAAAAAGTCCAGGAAGCCATAGAAGCAGGTTTGCATTGAGTTTTTCATTGCTTTGGTTGAGTATTAAGCAGGGGTGGGATTCAAATTTTTAACAACTGGCTTAGTTGGTGGGCATGGCTTGATGGTCATGTGACTGGCTGGGCGTGGCCAACTCAACATCACTCACATCGAGGCACGCATCTCCTCACCTGGCCTCTCATGACTGTGGGAGATGCTGCAACAGTTGTAAGTGTGAAAAATGGTCATGTCACTTTTTTCAGTGCCATTGTAACTTTGAATGGTCACTCCACACAAGCAAAGTACCAGCAAAGGAGGGGAAAAAACTCCAGAGAAGTTCCAGAGACAGGAAATCTAGTCCTGCCAAGAAAAGGGTTAACGGAGAGGCAGTTTCTGTAAGCAACAGCAGAATGTTTCCTTCCTGCCTTCCTTACAGGATTAGGCCAGTCATTTCTTCTAACAACCTGTTCTAGTGAATAGGTGCGAACTGGTAGAATCCCACCCCTGGTATTAAGCAAAGTTTGATGAATTATTTGTATTTTCAATAAAATCTTTAACTGGATCAATTTGTTAATTTTTTTAAATAAATGGAAATTTTTGATTAAATCACAACCTTAGACATTTAAAAATATGGATCTGATGCTACATACTTGAGAATTGTTTAATAAGAAGGTAATACAGCTGTGTCTTCTGCCTCAAAATGTACTGGACTCTTGTGTAGTGGTTAAGACACCAATCTAAACATGAGATTGTGACTGACTCTGAGCACAAAGCAAGCTAGGTGACCTTGGGACACTTTCTGTCAGCCCTAGGAAGGAGGCAGTGGCAAACCACTTCTGAAAAACCTTGTCAAGAAAACTGCAGGGTCTTGTACAATCTCCAAGAAATTGACACAATGGAACAGAAGAAAAAAATATGTTCCATTTAGTCTAAGTGGGCATGTTCATAATGGCAATTCTAGTTGCCTATGAGAAGGCAGAAAATTATTAGATCTTGCAATTTTTGCTAACATAACTAGCTGATAATTTTGTACATTTTGGAAATATTCATTAATGCTGGCCTTGAGATTTAGTAGAAGGCATCCTAAATTGTTTTTTGTAATATTTCTGCAGGAATTGCTGCTGCCACTTTATTTTCTGGAAATAAAAATGTGCCTTATGATGATAAACAACTCCGAGTAGCCTTTGATGGAGATGCTGTTCTTTTTTCTGATGAATCTGAAATTATTGTGAAAGAACATGGCCTGGATAGGTTTTTTGAGCATGAGAAGATCCATGAGAATACACCTCTGGCGAAGGTAGAATGGCCCCTTCTGCATTTTCTTTGTTTTCTTATAATGCAGCCTATATTTTCATTCTGTATTTTGATTTTGATTTTTTTTCTTAAAAGGAATTAGGAATCTGTTTTGATTTAAGCATGTGCTCCTTGCTCGAAATGTTTATTAAGCTTTTAAAAACTTCAAATAATTTGGCAGAGATATGCATAAAGCAGCTTGTTCATTATTTATGTATTTATTTTAAATATTTATAACCAGTTCAAAGGATCTTATAATGGATTACTATAGCAATTTTTAAAATACACAGAACCATAATGACATTTGCATTTAAAGATAAAAAGTCAAAAATGTTTCTGTCCATTTAACAATTGGCTGCTAAAGTTCGATGGTGCATTTTGGAGAACACCAAGAGCTGAAAGCCATATGTAGCAACAGATTGCTATCTTTCCTGTTGATAAATAATCTTAATTTGAGGATGATGCTGGATTCTGACAGATTATGCACCCTTATTTCATGGATGGATGTTTTTTTTATATAAAGCCTTTGCCCTCCTAGAATTGGCTCCTCAATTGAAATTACAAAGGCAGTCTAGATATATCTACATATGCGCTGCAGTCAAGAAGTTTGCAATGCATTGAAAGTCCCATTAATGATCAGCAATCCTGCCTCTTTCTTTAAAGAAAAAATGGTGTAAGATTCTAAATGTCTTTATGATATTTTTGCACTCTTAGGGTCCTTTGAAATGTTTCCTGGAAGATCTTGGAAGGCTCCAGAAAAAGTTTTACCTCAAGAACGAACGGTTGGACTCACCAATCAGGACTTATCTGGTGACAGCCAGGAGTGCTGCCAGCTCTGGAGCCAGAGTGCTGAAGACTCTTCGAAGCTGGGGGGTACAGATTGATGAAGCCCTCTTCCTTGCAGGGGCACCCAAGGGTCCAATCTTGGCAAAAATCAGACCTCACATTTTCTTTGATGATCAGATGTTTCACATAGAAGGAGCACAGCAGCTGGGCACTATTGCTGCACATGTACCGTATGGCATCGGACAGAAGTACCACAAATCCAAACTGAAAGAGAATCCAGCCCAAAATTAGTTCCATTTACCTTGCCGATAAATTTGCTGTAAAGTTTAATATTTCCACATGTGGGTTTCTATCAAGGCTATATTGATGGGAGTTATTGAGGGTGGGGAGCACATTTTGTTATTCACATTCTTGTACCAATAATAAAACACTTTGAATGCTGTTGTTTTTAGACATTTCTAGCTACCGCTTATTTAGTGTTGGAAAATAAAGCTATGAAATTTGTACAGTACAGAGCAGAGTTTATTAAACAATCATTGCCCATAAACTACTAACAAGTTTTTATGAAATTTTGCTTATGTTGTCGCAGAGACAAACAACCTTTAGAGCTGGGGGCACATTTGAACTTTTGTGAACATACTCACAAAAAGGCTGTAGCGGAAAGCTTCCCTCTTCAAAAAATGACTGCTCTGACATGGCCAATCACAAAACATCCACTTGCAAAGTGAACGTTCCCCCAGCATGCCCTGGCTTATCCCAGTATGCCCCAACACAACTATTGCAAAGAAGTGTTATGAGAAGCTTGTGTTTTGCTTTATAGCATGGCAGATTAACAGTCGGATAGATACATAGAGATAGAGATAGATATAGATTGACTGATTTTAAAAGTCAGATGGGACTGGGAGACTATGTTGCCTACTACTAGATACTGTATATACCAGATAGAGTCTCTACTATACTGGATATAGTCTCCAACCCTATAGGCTCCAGTAGAGGACATGCTCAATAGTGCAGAACACATTTTAGGTAGCTAAACTTATATCCTTGGTACAGATAATAAAGTACTGTATATTCTGCAGTTTAGGACTGTTGCAACGTAAAGCCTTTGCTCCATTTAGCCATTCATTAGCCAAAAAAAAAAAAAAAAGCTTAGTCTCTATGAAAGACTTTAGGATTATTTATAGGGGAACACTTTGTTGTTCTTAAAGGCAATAAGATTTCAGAAGGATATATAAAACAGCTCAATTTAGAATCTAAACAGATAAAAACTTGATCCCTTAGACATCAAACTTTGTATCTAATCAGCAAGGAAATTCAAATGGACAACTATGCTTCCAAAATGGCTAATGTAGCAAGTTCAAGCAGCAAAATTGTTGTGGAATTGATGGTAATTTAGCACAATTTGTGTGTATCACAGGTGAAATGGAACTATTTCTATTCAGACAAGAAGGGCTGACATTTGCTGTTCACCACCCAGAATTATGAAGTGGAGCTGGGTAGCCCTATACCAGGGATGACAAAGCTTTGATACATCAAAGATGACACCCAACAATTATTCGTGAAAGAACTCCCTATTCTTGTATAATTTTTGGAGACCGCAGTGGTTGTGCAAGAATGGGGTGTGTGGCCTCTGGACCCACAGAAAATGGTGCGAGAATGGGACATTCCTTCATGAATTTTGCAGGCTGTGAAAGAGCTTTCTCAAAAGCTGCTTCAAGAAAGAATGCCTCGTGGGTGATCCAGAGCAACTTTGGGTAACCCAGAGAGGACTTGTCAATAGAAAGAGAACAGCATCTGAAGTGAAGCCATGTGGAGCAGATCCTAGGGAGCCCTAGGCCATGGAGATAATTATTTCAGCTCCCAAGACTCACATGTTTTGGGGAACAATGTGAGGTAGCCTTTTTGAGTAGTAGTAATGCTAGTGTCAAGATCTGGGTCTCCACTTGAGACGCAAGCTCATGGTGCTGTTGTTTGGGGTTGTCTAGAAAGGGGATGGATGGCATGTGATATGCTAGCAGTCAAGTTGGGCATTTTCTGTATTTTTGACAGACCAAGTCCAAAAGGTTTGCCATTACATACATACATCCAGTATTTACATACATACATGTAAAAGTTTCTCCTATATAGTTGTGTCTGACTCTACAGGTGTTGCTCATCTCCGTTTTCTAGCCTAGGGAGCATTGTCCGAAGACATTTTCCATGGTCATGCGACTGGAATGACTATACGCCAAAGCACATGGAACGCTGTTACCTTCCCACCAAAGTGGTGCCTGTTTATCTACTCACATTTGCATGTTTCCAAACTGCTATTAGGAGCTGGAGCAAGTAATAGGAGCTTACTCCATCGCACAGTGTACGGGTCTCAAACCCATACTGTAAGCTTTGCAGCTGACAAGCTCAGCGTCTTTAGCCATTGAACCATCGCGCACCTCACATACATACATACATACATACAGTTTTAATTTAAACTTCAGAACTTTTAGGTCAACATAATCAGCATTTAATGAATACGGTAGTATATGTTTGGGCTGCTGTCACTGTCCTTTCTCATTAATCACCACATAGGAGAATCTGCAAGTAAAGCTATTTGGCCTTGTTAAGCAAATTAATGAGAAGTGGGGCAGAAAATTCTCAGGATAAGACTATCTCTGTTCTGTGTAATGTGTAGCTATACATTTTCTGACTAGAGCTTGATGAAATCTGCCTTGAAAGGGTACATAAGCAGGCTACGTGAACATCTTCCTCCATTTACAGATAGTGACAGTCATGATTTTTGCCTTTTGCTGATTATTAGTAGCTCCCAAGACACAGCAATTGGACACGTGAGTCCAGTTTTTCTGAAAATTAATAACCACAGAGCTTTTCAAACAGTATCTTGGCTTTGTAGAAGTCTGTTACAGCCATAAACTCAGCACAAACTAAAAATTTACTGCCGAACACCTTCCAAAATTATTGAAAATAACTTGTAGAATTAATAGGAAAATCTACAAATGTAGAAATGTCTATAAATTTTTAAAGAGTGTGTGTATTATTTTTGGTGGGATCTGAAGCCCTAGTATCAATTCTATTGGGAAGGGAAAATAATAATTTAAAAGCACATTGCCAAAGAAATGTTTTACATTGATCCTTCTCCAGCTCCATGTTTATCGCTGCATTTGACCATTGCAGGACTCCTACCAGAGTTCAAAACTATTTAGGTCCACTTTGATGATACATACATAAATACATATCCATCGTGCTGTTTCCTTTCATGGTAAGTTGCATGACTGTATGAAGAACACAGACCCCAATAAGAAATAACAAAAGAAATTAAGGGCATAAGAAAAAATAAAGAAAATACAGGTAACATTGGTCTACACCAAGGTTCTTTATACTTGGCAAGTTTAAGGCTTGTGGACTTCAACTCCCAGAATTCCTGAGCTAACATGACTGGAGGAGGAATTCTGGGAGTTTAAGTCCACAAATCTTAAAGCTGTCAAGTTTGAAGATTCTTGGTCTACACCAAGACTACTGTCATGCCCCTGTTGGAAACTGATTCGGAGGGTGAGGCCGAACAGCTGACGGGGAATGGGAGTGTGGCTCCGTTGGCTGTGGAAGGAACTGGGGAAGGGCACAGTCTGGCTGGGCAGAGCAGGAGAGAGGTAGAGCAAGGGAGAGGGAATTCATGGGAAGACTCAGGCCCACTCCCTCTTCATCCAGGGCACGCAGGGAAGAATGGAGAAGGGAGCAACATGAGTTGCGTGACTTACAGGGGAAGAAAGGGCCCTGATTCCTTTCATTAGCTGCAGCTGGGAACACAGTGTTTAAAAGGGAAGCTGCGCACAGCCAGTTGTTGGGAGCAAATCGTGAATTTATCTGGTATTGTCATGGCTTATCTGTGTTCCTGGCATCTTCCCAACTGTGTGAGTGTTGCCATGCTTTCAAGTCTGAAAGCCTTTCTCCTGTCTTCTCAAGTTAATTACTACAGCTTTGTTTGTTTGGATTTTTAGTTACAGTCTGTATGTAGCTTGTTTTGGACTGAATTTTCTACAGTTAAACGCTGTTCCTGGGAGAGTTTTTCTCCAGCCTAAGGTAACCTGGACATTGGGGACAAAGTTGAGATAATAAGGGGACTCTTCTTGCTTATTTGACTGTGCTGCTTTTGTGCCACGCCCTTTTGGGTCATCACTTCAGTATTCCCTACTTCTCTAGCCTTGCAAATTATCCTTGATTCCATTGCCTTCATAGATTGTTTCATATATTGCCTTCATTCATTAAACTATTCACCTCTTCCAGTCTCAAGACTTTTATCAGTTCCATCTAACCATGACTTTCTCCATCCTTTTCTCAACCTATGTACTCTTCCTATTTGTTTTACATTTTGATCTCCATTCATTCTATGATCAAACCATCCCAGTTTAGGCTTTCCACACAATGAAATCAGATGTAGCTTTGTTTTTATCCCTTTGCTTTCTTAAATGTATTACATTATTTATCCTGCTGAATGATCATGTGAGTGAAGTGAAAATGTCAGTTATTATCTTGTTATTTATAAGCAAACCTTCTGTTTAAAACTACTTTCCCATCTTAATAAAATCTAAATGTTCAATATTTTTTTACTTAAGAACTTTTCATAAAAGAATGTCCAATTATCTTACAGACTTAAACTCTGCACGTATTTTGTGTTTCTATAATCAATGATCATTCTCTCAAATAATAGAATTCCTAATAAATAATTATCAACATTTTATTGTAACAAAAGATAGAAAATACATTGTATTGCTCCCTCTGCCTTAGTACAAGCATTACTGTTCAATGTTAAATGTTAATTATCATATGATAAAGATGTAGCTCTACAAATTATTGAAAATGTAAAGACAGTATTACTGAACATATAAACTCAGTGGAAAACTAGTGGCTAAGGCACCTGGCTAAAAAGCAGGAGACTCTGAGTTCAGGTCTAGCTTAACCATGACCAGCTGTGTAACTTTGGTCAGTCACTCTCTTTCAGCCCAACCCATCGCACATGGTGGTTGTGGGGAAAACAGGAGGAGAAAGGTATGATGGATATATTCTCTGCCTTGAATTATTTGTAAAAATAACAAAGGTGGGATACAAATAAGTAAATGTATAGGTAAATCAATCACAGGCTATGACGGATAGGCTAATGATATTGTGACACAGGATATAGGGGTCAGGAAGTAAGGCTGAGCCTGTACATTGGTTATGTTGGTTTGTGATTGAGGGGTCTGGTTTTGACCCAGCTACTCTTTCTAACCTGTATGTTTTTCTCTATATTTATATTTTCTTTAACACACCTGCCCCTAATTATGAATTTGAGATGGGGCAGCTCTCAAATGGTAATTAATTATCCCAGGTTGCATTAAGCATACAATAACTGAGCTTATATAGATAAAATAAACTTCAGAAATAACAACTTTGACTAGCAAACAGAAAATAAACAATAACAAAGTTAACTAGTCACTTGCTAATGTTTATCCAAGCAATATTTCCTTTTTGATTCAATTTTTCTTGGGTTTTTTTTTTTTGTAAGCAAC